AAAATCTGGAACAGCAGCGATTCCATGTTTGCATTTGCTTGAATGCTATAGTGTGAGTTTGTCCTTTGAAGATGTGCACTCGGTGGGACTTCTACATTATCGTACACAGACTAGTACCTTTTGAATCAGAGCTGGGTATCCACCGGTGCTGCATCTATTTCACAGGATTTCGAACGGGGGGCGATCAATTTACTAAACTGTCATCATCAGGCATATAGGGAGAAAAGGCGTTAGAGCGTTTGCGGCAAGGTTCTTACCATGATCCTCGACGCGTTGGTAAACCACGGTTCATAAACTTTTGACCAAGTGTCGTGTCTCAAGCTCTGAACTCAAAAAAATCACCTAGTATGTCTCATAGCGGCTGCCTGCAATTTCAACTCAACCAACAACTATTATGAGTGCAACATCCACCCAACTATCCTCAAGGTCATGGCTGTAGTCGATTACCTGTTGTTCCGGAGCGCCCCTGTACTGACCTGCTCTAAATCAACATGATCTCTGTGGAACGCGACTCGGGACTATGGACTCTTGATTCGATGGGCATGTCGGGACTTGGGCAAACGTTTATGACTTCGAGCAGGTACTTGGACCAATCAGGCTGGCACCTGGAACCCTTAGACTTATGATTTCTCTGGTCGATGTTTTGTACGCCCTCTGAGTGGATGCACAGGGGTATACAAGTCCGTGCCTTCTATACCCATTGCTAACATTTGTAAAACCTCTGAGCGCGGACGTGCAGGGATGTTAACAGGTCGTTTTTGCTGAATTGATTACTTTGAAGTACTAACAATAATGTTTTCTTGACCCCGCTCCGAACAATGTAATGATGAAAATGTGAAGCAAGTGCTTAGAACGCTGCAGTTGGTGCTGAGATACGGCGAAGAATATGTATGTATTTCCGCGTGAGAAATACACGTTCCGACGCGCCCTCCTCGACTTTTTCACATTCTACACGCCATTTGGTCCTTGTACTGAAGCTCTGTTTATGATTAGCCCTTCAAACACTCTTCGTTCATGTATTCCCATCACCCACATACTTTCTACTCCCCTTCTAGCTCTCCACCCTCTTCCCCATGCCCATTCCCGGATTCTTCCCCAGCCTCGTCTCCCACCAGAAGCACTAGCGACCTTCCTAGTCTAGACCTCTTGAACGCCGACTTCTCCTCCCCTTCTTCTTTAAACTCGCATTCACCTCCGCTGCACCCGTTCTCCGGGTCAGCCAAACAGGTCAAACAGTTCCGCATGCATGAGAAGAAGACGACGATGGTAAAGCGGTCGCTTTCGCCTGATGATTATTCGGTGTTTGATTCCTCGCCGACGAATTTGACTGCAAAAAAAGTTCGGTATGGCTACGTGGACAAGGATTCTCGTGATAAATGCGAAGAGGATCTGCTGCAGCCGCCAAAGCACCGGGGTTCTAGTATGGCGTTTGAAGGGATAGATTTCAATTCTCCTAACCTATTTGATCCTGACGCGTTCAATAACTTGCGTCCGTCGGTGACTGGGTCAGACCCTGTGCCTGAGAAGTTGTTTGAAGACACTGTGGAGAAAGCATACATGGATTGTAGTCTGCATATTGCGTTCGAGTGAGTTTGAAGCCTTCAATCCTTCCTTCGTTTTTTTCAAAAACGATCTGCTCGTCGCAAACTCATCAAAAGTTGCTATTTTGTGGTTGTTGTTCGTTTTCGTTTTTGCACAGACGTCAAAACCTTTCCTACCTCCCCGAACGCGGGATAATTGACCTCAACAATATCGTCATTCTCGACCAATACTCTGAACAGAATTTCGTTAACCCAGAAACTATTGTTCGTTCAGCTGCAAGCCGTTCAAGTTCAAATTCAAATTCAGAACAATCAACCTCGACTTCGGATTTGACATTTCATCATCACCGTAAACGGAGTCAGGCTCATCGTCTAAACATGAGTCGGACACCAAGCACCCGCACACTACCAGGTGTACCTCGACAGTCCATGACTCTATTATTGGCTGATAACCTTCTCACTCGTCTTCCTCCGCAATTATTTTACCTTGATAGGTTGACTGTTTTATCACTCCGTGCGTGCTTGCATAACGTTTCTCTTACATCCACTCATTAATAACCCATCCTAATTATAGGTTCAAACAAATTAGCCTTCCTCCCCCCGGAAATCGTCTTCCTCGCATCATTAAAAGAACTCAACGTCGCCAACAACAAATTGGCCTATCTCCCAGCTGAGATGCTTGGGATGACATTATCCAAATTGTCTGTGCAGCCCAATCCGTTTATATCCCCGCCTCTGTCCCTTCTATCCGAAACGCGTTCGTTCAGGCGAACGTTGACGAGGAGCAAAACAAGTAAATCTCGGTTGGGTCAGGCCGTGCCTAGGTTGACATCCCCGGTCAAGTTGATCTTCGAGAATGGTGTTCCGTCATTGTTCGAGTTGTGTTTAAGGGCTTTTACCACTACTTCCAACAGTAACTACTTCAACCCCTTCTCCTCCTCCGCTGCAAACCCCTCCTTTTCATCTTTCACCTCTTCTCCAACTAAAGGTTTCAACAGTCCAACTCCGAATCAAACACCGACCAAGAATACCCCTGGTACAACAATTTCCTCCATCTCTCCCCATCTCCGTCGACCAAAAATCGAACTGATATATGACTTGCCCCCCGAATCCACATCTTTCCTCCCTCCCTCGGTTCAACGCCGCTTGCATTATGCGGTTCCGGGGAGCGTGAAGGGGTATTCGAGCGATGACGAGTATGGGAATCGATGTCAGAGTCAGGATCGGGATCATCACTCCTCCCTTACCGATACCAATTCCAATTTCATTTCCGATCTAGACGAGGTCACTGGTGTAGGGTTTTGTCCTTCTCCGCGTCATCGTCATCATGGTCCTAATGGCCTTACCTCTTCCCTCTGTTACCAACACACCGAAGAGCGATTCACATGGGAGAGTACGATTGCGGGTGTAGAAAATCTAGGAGAGATTCCTGTGAGGTGGAGAGGATGTCTTAAGGGGTGTTTAGGGTTTCTGGATGTTGGAGATGAAGATCAAGATGTCGAGAAAGCGGAGAAGGGGAAGATTGTATCGACCTCAATTCCTATGCCTATCCTAACTTTGGGACCTGATTCGGATGTAGGAACTGCAGGTATGACTTTATCTCCGCCCATGGATACTGATTTGGATTTGGAACATGCCGTGAAGCCAGTCGATTTAAGCGGTGTGGAGTTTACGGAGAACGATTTTGACGATGAATAATGAAGGGAAAGAGGCAGTATAAGGGTGACACACTAATACTACAGTGGTATCACGGTGTGTTTCCTCAGGTTCCATATCTTGCACATTTTTGGCTCTCACTAAATCGAACAACTCACTGCATTTGTACATTATCTATCTCTACATACATACATCCTCATTACATACATCCAAAGCACCCCGAATTCCATCTGGTTTGTACATCATGAGTTCCTGCTAAAGATACAGCACGGACTGTAAAATCCCATCCAACCCACGTTCACCTCATAAATTCACCAAATTAAGCCTCAACGCTCAACTCCCAGTCTCGATCAGTCTCGACGAGACTGCCACCAAACAACCAACTTCATTGCTTCAATACCTAATCAGTACCTAAGGAAATCCAAAACTGAGTGTTAGGCAAATAAAGCAAGAAGGAAGAGCTGATATGATACACACTGGTGCTTATGTTTGACCTCTCACTCCGGCTCCTATCCTGACTCCTCGGTAAATTCTGCAACATCAGCGCTGAAAGCCTAAGGTTTTCCACCCGGGATTTGTTGTCGTAGATTGGGCTCTTCTGATTGTTCGCGCTACTACTGGCTCCAGGGCGATGAGTAGGTTCAGGTGGGATAAGCAGCGGAATAGAGAGCTCGACTTCGTGCATGAATGCAGCGATATCGGCTAGAGAGAGGCCTATTGAACGGAGGGCGTTGCCTTGGGTGCTGCATTACAAGTTATCGGTTATCGGTATTGTATTGGGATCAGTTATGAAAGAGAAGAGTTATCATAGAATCGGCACAATGAGATGTGGAAAAGTGTGAGTGCGTGATAAGTAAACTCACCGATTGATCTTTGCTTCTTCCAGTAGAAACTGCAAATTGGATTGATATTGAGTAGTAGTAGTAGCAGAATTGTCATTGCTCAGTTTGTTTGCTTTCTGCAACATATCCCGAGTCTGATCCAAGTTCTGCTTCAACTCGATCAAGTTGGCATGCAACGCGGTGTATAATTGCTTTGCATCGTGTGCTTCGCGTTTGGCTTCGTTGAGCTCGATCTTGAATTGGTTCATCAGATGTTCTGTGTCGTGTGTGGCTTTAGTAGCTTGTTGGTTCAAGCTCAAGACCATTTCACGCTCTGCGTTGATCTGGTCTGTCTGGCTCATGAGACCATCCACACGCTGTCGTTCAGCATCTACAATGCCACAAACATTACTCAACTCCTTCCGCACATTACGAATTTCCTTCCTTAAATCGTTCACCACCTCGTTCGATCCTGCTTGCACATTCGATACCAGAAGCTCCAAGTCATTGACTCTGCGGTGGATAGATTTGGTATCTCTTCGGAGAGATGTCAGTTCCCGCGTGGCTTTGTCGGTGGTTTGTCGTATTCGTCTGGAGAATAAGAGGTAGGGAACGAGGAGGACGGCTGTGAGACCGCTGAGGAAAGTGATGTGGGTGGAGAGTGGAAAGTTTGGGAATATGGGTCGACGTTCAGGGAGGAGGTTGGACGTGGTGGATGGGTTGGTGGAGGAAGTGGGAGTGGGTATGGTGGTAGTATCAGGTACAGCCATCGATGAAGGTAAGAGAGAGATTGCAGTATTTATTTAATAAGCAGACTCCATGAGTGACCCGCCCACCACAAAATAACAAACCAACTTCAGTCACTTTTGCTGTGGATGAATGAACTAGACAAAAACACACAAGGAGTATGTACAGGCTACATATTGAACCAGGTATGTAGTATTGTACATTCGAAAAATTTCGACACGTCCTACACCATCAGTGCATTAAGAGGGAATCGAACCCCCGGCGGGTCGACACATCGACACTTCGCAATCCGAAAAATGGCAACGACCCAGGTTACCACTACCCCATTAATGCATTGAACATTTGGTGTTTTTTAATGTCAGTACACGTAGGAACAAGTTCTTCTCTTGCATTCCTCGACGTTCCTTATCATTATCTTTCACTTGGGGTTCTTTTTCACCTTCACCTTCGTTTTTTTTGATCATTTCACAGTGTTGTACATCTAATAGTCTCAGAACCATTCATCAAGGGAAAACAGAACGGAAAAGGAGTAATCATGGTCGCTCAATCCGAATCTCAATCCACTCATCCCCCAGCTCTAAACTCCACAGCATCATATCGTATTTCCAGACCTCTCCTCGTTGGTCCTTCATCACCCATTTATCCTGGTTCCCCGTACCCGATTCGCTTGCAAGGCCCGGTCTGCAAAGGATTCGGAAGAGGCGGTAAAGACCTCGGGTGTCCCACTGCGAATCTACCTGATGACGATAACGGTGGAATTGGAACCGGTGTACAAGAAATGCGCGGAAAAGTGGATACTGGGGTGTTTTATGGTTTCGCAAAGGTTATTCCGCCTTCATCCAACGACCACATCGACCACTCCACCCTCCCGATGGTAATGTCCCTCGGCTGGAACCCGTTTTACAAAAACGAACGCTTGACAGCTGAAATACATATATTACATGAATTCGAGAATGATTTTTATGGATACGATATGAAGGTGTTGGTGTTGGGGTATATAAGACCGGAATTGGATTATGTTAGTCGAGGTGAGTAGCAATAAGTAATTGTATTGATTCATTCTTACCCCCTCTCCCAACTTACAGAAGCACTCATAGAAGACATCGACACAGACAAACGTGTAGCACTAAACTGTCTTGCCAGACCGGATTACGCCCGGTTCGCCGAGGACGAATTCTTTGTTGATGATAAATCTAGTGGGGCGCAGGAGTCTGGGCGAGCGGTGAACGGAGATGCGCGGAAGGAAGAGCAGGAAGAGATGACCAAGTTATAACCCGTCGTAGTTGTCGTGGGCTCAAAGGTTGGATGAAATAGAGATACAATGGACGCCGAAGATAGAGACGCAGTCGAGAGAAGGTTACTCTTGTGTAGTATAGCATGTTGTGCACAGTAAATAGTGAATAGATAGATAAAGGCAGACTACGGAATACAATGTACAGTGCCCAGAACATATGAATAATTCGGACAAGGAACATTGTATGCTTTTCTCATATGTACCTCTTCGTCCAATTTTTTGCTCTTCATCCTTGCTTCCTAGGAATGCTTTCTATTCAGTTCCGACGACTGGACTCGTCGGAACCGGGCATGGGAAGATTATCGACTCCTCTCTCACATTTCACGGGCCGCCTTCCTCCAACCAAAGATAGCAACCTTTCGAAGCCTTCTGACCTGCTTCTAAAAAAACTTGGGCAAAGAATTCCGGTTTTATTCCTGATCGACCGCGTAAAGTCTTCCCACCAACCTCCCTTTTCAAAATACCTATTTTTAGTGCTCTCTGGGTCTCTCTTTTTCCGTACTCCACCATACTAACCAAACCTCATTTTAATGTCGGCACCTCCCTCACCAAACCCTCTACATGGAGTAGAAGTGCTCCTCTTCGATGTCTTTGGAACCGTCGTAGATTGGCGCAGTTCGGTGACAAAGGAGCTGGAGAATCTTGGAAAGAGGTATTCATTGAATGGTTCGTACTACTGGTTTGGTTTTCATCACCTGGTTCGACATATGCTTTTGATTATCATCGTCTCCGACTTTGTCTTGAAGTTATTCATTATCACTTAACAATTGATTCAATCAGACTCGCCTCAAGATTGGCTTGCCTTTGCGAATGAGTGGAGGAAGGGGTATATGGAGAACACGTATGTATCGGTTGATTTATCAATTTAGTACATACCATTCGGCGCAATGGCTGTTTGGCTAATGCACCTACAGACGACGAATTGCAGAAGGCGGCGAAGGAACTAATGATGTGGATGTCATGCATCGAGAAGTAAGTACCTATCAATGATCAATCAATCATCGGTATATTCCCCCCACAAATATTGAGAATTTCACAGATTCTCGACTCCATGCTATCCTCGCCTCGATGGTCTCACATTGGAGAAGCCTTGACAGAAGAAAAAGCTAGGGTTGAGCTGAATTTGGTTTGGCATCGTTTGGATGGTGGGGAGAACTTATCCTCTACATGTATACTGTGCTAGCACTGATGTAGTTTCCCATTTTCCCCTACGGCCTACGGTCCACGTTTATCCTCGTCCACCTCCCCCTGACGAATCCCGGGTTACAGCATGGCCTGACACCTTACCCGGCCTCCACGCCCTCAAAAAGCATTTGATTATCGCCACCCTCTCCAACGGAAATGTCCGTCTCCTTGTCGACATGGCTAAGCACGCGGGTTTACCATGGGATGCAGTGTTTTCGAGTGCATTGTGGGGAGTGTATAAACCGTGAGTACAATTTCAATTCACCTGCTTTCAACCCAGCAGCCGGAGTGATTCGCTGTGATTTCAATTGATGAGCTCTTCGTCAAATTTGATTCATTTTGTACCTGCGTTGTTTTCTGAACTACGCTGTACTCACCATTTACTTCTCCGCTTCCTCCGCTTCCTCCGCTTCCTCCGCTTCCTCTTTTCCCCTCTCCTATACACAGAAACCCCCTTGCTTATGCCTCAGCCCTACATCACCTCTCTATTGTCCCGAATAAAGAAGGCACAACCAAAGCAGCCATGGTTGCTGCACACCTTTTCGATCTGCGCGCTGCAAAGAAGGCGGGGATGAGAACTGTTTATGTCCGTCGGCCTGGAGAAGATGCGGGTTTGTCGGATGAGGATAGGAAAAGGCTATCGGGATTGGGAGGAGGAGATGTAGACGGGGTTGATGTGGTGGTGTCGGATTTCATGGAATTGGCGAGGTTGTTTGGTGATTCAGAGTGAAATTCAATGTGTTGGTAAGGCTTTAGGAAACGTTGCTGTTTGGTGAATTATGTTGTGTATGTACAGTATTTGTAGTTCTTAGTATCACAACATCTTTCTCTCTCTCCCTCTGCGGAACGGAAGGAGGAAAAATGACTTCAATTTGGTTTGAATTCATCCCGAACCAAAGAACAACTCGGAAACATCTGTGGGCAAAAAATAGTAATGTTGTTTATCAGGTAGGTACCAACAACAAAGAGATCCCCGCAATCTGACTAGAACCATTTACATCGAATCAAATACCGAAATACAGGAGGAGGATGGCATAGAAGTGGTGATAGTCATACTAGGTTCACGAAGCGATGATATCGATTTTCATTCCTAGTGAACGAAGTGTCCCTAATTGGGGATGGTCAAGCATCTTCCTGGCCTCTTTTTCCGGCGCGGTGATAAACACTTCGAGAGGTGACAGATTGTTATGATTGGAAGAGTTGGCAGTAGAGAGACGAGAAAGAACACAGTGATACAGGTTCTCCATTAAATCATAGCCGCCCCCGGGTATAGGTATACGCCACAGATGGAGTTTCAGTTGATGAAGGACGGGAAATGGGGTGATAGTTGCTGATTCCGAAGGCTTCAGTTTACAGAAGATATCGTCGGCTCTGTGATAGCTAAGTTCACTGACTGCAAGTGATTTGAGTGTCATAGTGCTCTGGATGTCTTCGTAAATATTGGTCCATGCATTGATAACCAAACATTCAAGATTGAAAGCGGAGCGCTTTTCAAACTCTTCGATGGTGGATTTCAGCAAGGGGTCAGTGTGAAAAACTCGGATAGATAGGGATGTAAGAGCTGGGCAAGTTATTGATTTGAAGAATGCCGTGACATATGAGAAGATTGGATGATTTGACTGTTCTACCAAGAGCTCTTTGAGACGAGGAAGTACTTTTATCTGATCCTCTGAGTTGGGATCAAAGGCGAGTGGCAAGTCTTGTACTAAAACTAACCTGCATAAATTGGGGAGGTGTTCGCACACTCTCAATGCAACCTTGTATGAAATATTGGAAATCAAGCAATCTGTAATTTGACTGCAGAGTTTTGTTGAGAGTTTAGCCTCGGTGATACTAGATCCTAAGCCGCCGCTGCCAACAATCGAGTATGATTTTAGGCTTGGAGCAGGTATATCAACTAATGGGAGCACCTCCAGAAGCTTAACTTGCAACCTTCTCAACAAGGGAAAGGAGTCTTCTGATAAGACCATATTGTTGGAATCAAAAGATTGAACTCTGCCCAGAAATAATGATTCCCAGCGTTGGGAATGAGAGGCAATGAGGGCAGAAATGCTGTAAGCATAATTATCCGAGCGATATGAGGGCATGTCAAGGTAGATAGCAAGAGGTAATGCGGCCGAGCGACTTAGATACCCTGATAGAAGGGAGAGACCAAAAGGAAGCGGACTCTGACTCGGATGACTATTCCATACATTCTGTTGGGTTATTTGTGAATGACGTAAACTGACAAGGTGATCCGCTTCGATTTTGACTCGTGTCCAAAGAAGAGGTGTACGCATGGCTGTCCCCCTCCAGCGACGACACACCCGGCTATATGTCCATGGAGGGGAGTTGAGATTCAGAGAATGTCGTGCGGAAGGAAAATAGTCTCCGGGATCTATATAAAGCCCTGCACCATGAAGAAATATCTCCACCAGGAGATCATCCGGCATGCGTCGCATAGGATTCAGAACCGTTTCGTGCTCTGAGACTGCTTTTGCAAGCAAAGCTTTAGTGCGCTCGAGCTCTTCAAGCAGAACCTTCACCGAGATAATGCGGGCCTTAAGGTATTGGAGTTCCGATTTGCCATGGCCTAAGAAGGTCTCCAGAGTTTTCTGTTCATCTTCGGTTGGGGAGTCATTGGTGTGCAGAAGGTTATTAACGCGGGTGGAATAAAGAGGAATAGGTAGAGGTGCTCTATCAGATGAATATCCACATTGTGGGCATGACATAGCGATTATCACGACAATTGGTGAGTGATTCTTCGAAGCAGTGATTGAGGACACTGTATAATCAGATAAAGAAACAACAATCCAGGGTAAAAGGGCAAGTCACCTCACGAGAGAAACGAAGATTTACCAAGGGTCGGAATGAA